CCCTGCTTTGCCAGTATTTTGTCACACTTGGACAAAGGGCTCTGGAATCAAATGGCAGCCTAAGCCACACACCCAATATCATGCTAAGAGGAATTCCTGAGAATCAGCTTAGTGCTGCTGCTGATTGCCAAATTCTCTGAATCACTTCCTTTTCTCCCACAGACTGGCTTTTTCTTGATTTCTGCCCCAGATGAAATGGGTGTGTATGTGGGTGTGGGAGAGGGACCATGCCTGTAGCCCTAGGCTTGTACTTCCCGGTGACATGACCGTTCTAGATGCTTCCACAGTGACCCAAATAGGGATTCCCTTCAAAGCTTCCTCTTCCTAGTCCCTGTTTCCTAATCTTGGTTCCAATTTCACTTTGATATTTCACGACTTCAGGGCAGCCCCTGCCCAGTTTTCCACCCAGATGAAGCCGAGGAAACCAGTGTGGCCCAGAGCCCTGCAGGTACAAAATCACGCAGGCATGTTGTACAGTTAAAAAGCTGCTATGGTTTCGGTGAAAAACAGCTCCATGCAAACATCTGGACCCTCTGCAGATGGTTTACTAATCCATACATATCACTGCCAATGAGCTCTTTGCAAAATCCTTTTAAAGTATATCAGATGTGACAGGTTTCCAGAAGCTGGGATCCTGGGTTTAATGTGCTGACATTCAGAAAAGCCAATAGCATTCCTGATCATTCACAAGGCTCCTTTCAAGTAACTTTGTGATGCACTTATTGAAAGGGCTAGACTTTTCTTTAAATCAGACCTGACAGAGATTAAAAAATAAGTCATAAGTATAAAGAGGAATAAGTGAATTGGATCAGGAAAACATGAATGTTATTTAAAATGGTAATCTGACTTTTAATTGAGATCAAAGACAAATAGCAAATGCAATTCAATGAGAGGTTACATCGTTATCTGTTTTAGACACAGGGATCACAACTCAGAGTATAAACCTGTTTCGTGCACCTAACACAAGTTGACAGGTACTCTGAGTGAATGAAACACAAACTACATAAAATACTAAATAGATATTAATTGTAATTAACACCCAAATCCCCCAGATCTTCTCAGTTTTCCACTATTCTTTCATTGGCTCTCCACTGAATACCTACTGTTTTTCACCATGACAGCCTATGGGGTCACCATGATGAACAGCCATGGTCTATGCCATGAAGGAGCTAACGGGTTATGAGAAGCAATTTCTGTACCATGAAGATTGTTCATAAATGTAAGCCCTCTTTCTCTAAATTGTTTAGAGCATTATACTAAATATAAATATGTCTTGCTACAAATAATGAAGCTTAGAAAACAGAGCAGTGTTACTAGTTTTAAAAATTTTGATCTTTCAATGATTCACCATTAAAAAGTCATACTCTTTAAATCCAGAAATGGTCAAGAATATTGCCTATCTGTCCATTTTCTACTCTAGTCCCTATTGTCCCTCACAGAACATGGAAAGAACTAACCTTGATTAAAGTGACAGCAAAGCTAATTGATGGGGTGCCTGGGTGGCTTAGTCGATTAAGCATCCGACTTTCGGCTCCGGTTGTGATCTCACGGTTCGTGGGTTCGAGCCTCGCGTTGGGCTCTGTGCTGACAGCTAGCTCAGAGCCAGGAGCCTGCTTCAGATTCTGTATCTCCCTCTCTCTCTGACCCTCCCCTGCTCACGCTGTCTCTCTCTCTCAGAAATAAATAAAAACATTAAAAATTTTTTTTTAAATAAAAAAAATAAAGTGGCAGCAAAGCTAATTGAATAGTTAGGGGATAAATTCATGACCTTGGCCTCATTAGCATAACACTCAATCTAACTAGTAAATATAAAGAAGTAAAATGAAGCAATGCTATTTACCAAGGATTGTTTTGTTCACTGCCATACAACTTGGAAATAATAGCCTGAACACACTACATGCATTATGGAAGGAATATACATTGATACAACTTCTCCAGAAGATAATGTGGCAATACCTATTACACACTTATGCACATAACTCTTGGTCCAGTAACTATACTCCTAGGAAGTTCTCCAACAAATATATGTATGTATATTTGCAAAAACACATATACAAGATTTTTCATTGATTCATAGTAGCAAAAAACTGGAAATAATCTAAATATGCATCAATAGGGGGTTAGTTAAATCAATTATATATCCATGCAGAGGAATACTATGCAGCCATTTTAAAAGCATAAAATAGATCTAATGATGTAGATCAATCTTCATGATATACTATCAAATGAAAAAAACAAAAATAAGGTACTGATCGTATTGAATAATATAATACTATTTGAGATTTTCAAGGGGAGATTAAAATGATTTTGTAAAGAGCTCATTTAAGTATTTCATACATGAATAAGAATATATATGTGCATATATAAAATGTATTATGCATATATGTTTGAATTTACATAGAAAGACACATAGTGGCTGCTTTGAACTTAAAGTCAGGGATAAAAAAGACCAATTCTTCTCTCTGATATGGTAATCCCTGAATTTATTTTTCATATTTTAAAATAATTATAAAGAAATGACCTGGAGAGATTGTCCACATGTTCTGTCTCTCGATTCAGTGGCTTCTTGTGTTCATCCAGACTTAAGACATTCAGTAGTGTTTAAGTACTTCAAGAAGACTCCAAGCTATCTGAAGTCAGGGACTGTGGCTCATGGTCTTGACCTTCCTTGAACAAGTTACTTATTTTTCATAAACCTGTTGCTTCAATGGTATATGGAGATGATAACAGTGGTAACTGACATTTGTTAAATGAGGATCATGGGTCCAGCCTCTTACTACTTTTAACATGGGTTGCACCATCTAATCTCAAAACAATCCTGTCTAATAAGCATTATTGCTATATCCCATTTTATAGATTAGAAAAGACACACATCACTAAAGTAATAAGTGGAGGGCCCAGGATTTGTCTGTGTCCAGGGTCCATGTACCTATTGGGTTGTGTAAGAAATGAGAAAGTGTGTGTAAAATACTTGGCAAAGTCCGGCTCTTCAGGAAGTGCACAGGAAATGTTAGATATTATTCTGATGTTATTTCTTCCCTGCCAGGAAACTCTTCCAGCCATTAAAAACATGCACCCAACTGAACTGAAACAAGGTAGCTTTGTGCTGAAAGCACTGAAATCCTAGCAGGCACAGGCGCGTGGGAGATACACAGCCACTACTTAAGGTCAGACATGTGAAATCACCTCCCATCTCTTCATCCACGTGTGGACTGCCACAGGAGGCCATTAGGGAAAGTTCTGTGTTTTCCCCTTGGGATATGAAGGTTTTACTGCCAGTAATAACAGATGTGCCCAGCCAATTACAGACTAGAGATGGGTAATCACATCTTGCATTTTAAGGCTTAATCTGATCACCTCTGGGGTCAAGGAATGAGAGTTATCATAATGGCTGAAGTCTGCTTGCACCACCACTTATGAACCAAATTTCAAGCCTTGGAGGTCTGAAATGGAGTCTCTCTTTGTTCTGTAGTACGCACGTATGTATGCACAGGTGTGCATTCATGCATGTGTGTGCATGTGAGAGAGACAGAGACAGAGAAAGACAGAGAGAGATTTATTCTTTGTGCACATATAAGATGCTCCAAAGCTTGGCCCTGTCACCCTGTCTCCCTCTCAAGTTTACCTGGTGAATATTTCTTTTGAGAAAATGAGGAGCCAATAGGCCTCAATTCTGCTTTTAGTTCTGCTACAAATTTCTTTGCGATTCCTAAACTGTAGCTTAATTTGTGAAATTAAGGCGGTCTCCCAACGTTTGCTTCTTCATCTCCACCACACAACTGAGATCTCCCCAAAGGCAGAAGCTCTTGTATCAATCATTGAATTTTCAGTGTCTAAAATACTGTCTAGCATACAGTAGACACTCTGTAAACACTGAGCAAATGACTGTCTGAGTTCCCTTCCAGTGACAATGTGGCGTTGAGTCCACAAAATCATAATCTGATGCACTGAGTTGATTCCAACCCATGCAGCAGATAACATTGGCTGTCAGCTCTCTTCTGCTTTTTCTCTGCCTACTGTTGAGACACCTTCATGAACATTTGCACCAGAATCTAACATGTGCGAAAGGAGATGTTGAGATCTGCCAAATGTTTCTCTACTCTGGCAGTAGTGGAAATGACTTGGATGGAGAAGAAACAAAGTATTAATTTGAAGGACTGGTGATTTGCTGGTTTTGTTGAAGCAGGGTGTGTCTGTCAGTCGCCCCCATCCATATGCACAACTGGCCACCCACAGCACTTGTCAGTTCTTCTTGGCGAGAAAAGCCAAAGACTGCTGGCTAACAATGTCTGAAGGCTTCCAGTGACGTGACAGTCATTTCAGATTTGGAAGGGAAATGACCAAGGAGGACCTTCTGGTTTTTTGTCTGTTTTCATGTACATTAGTCAGGGTTCTTAGATGTAAACACCACAAACAAATTCTGGCCACCGGAAGCAGAAGAGGAATTGAAGAATTTCAGGTACCACAAAATAAGCGGGGTCTTCCCCTCCACCACCACCGCCTTTCCCCCCCCCCCCCCCCCCCCCCCCCGCCCCACGTCCAGTGCTGGGCTGCTTGCCACCAGGGCGAACAATTGGTTTGTCCCTTTGCTTTTGTGCTGCCTGTTCAAAATTCAAAGTTTCAAAAGGAGCATATGATTGGCCAATCTGGACCCCCACCCCCAGCCAAACACAGGCATATATCAGTGATACTGCAGGTTCTGTTCCAGACTACAGCAATAAAATGAGTATCACAGTAAAGCTAGTCAAATGAGAGTTTTTGTTTCCCTGCTCATATAAAAGTTACATTCACAGTATACTGTAGTCTATTAAGTGTGCAAGAGCATTACATTTAAAAATAAAACAAAGTACATACTTTACTTTAAAAATACTTTATTGCTAAAAATGCTAACCATCATGTGAACTTTCAGTGAGTTGTAAACAATGATCACAGATAACTGTAACACATAAAATAATGAAAAAGTTTGAACATTGCAAGAACTGCCAAACCGGAACACAGAGATGGTACCAGTAGACTTTTTCGACGAAGGGCTGCTGCAAACCTTCGGTTTGTAAAAAGCATAATATCTGCAAAGCATAATATAACATAGCACAATAACACAAGGTATGCCATATCTGTCCCGGTGGGCTCTCACACAGGTAAAGAAGATCCTAACTCTCAAGCAGCAGGGGCATCCCCCAGGTAGGAAGGAGATCTGCACACTGGTCAGCCACAGGACAGTGATAAGCAGTCACTACATCACAACCTAACAGTGTAGCGGCCGCGTGCTTTGATAATCCATCATTTACAAAGATGAGTAAAACCTAGAGTCTACAGTCACAAACACAGCCCCCAAAGGGGGGCCGACTCGTGACTAACGTACACGGGGCTTATTAGAATTCTTGTTCTGAAGGCTGAAAAAATGACCAGCCAAAATTAAATCTTAATCATTGAGCAGCTTCCTGCAACTTTGTCCAGAGCAATTTTAGAAGCTGTGGTTGAGCCTGCCTGCCACCCGTGTGTCCTAAAGTCCTGCTGCCGTCACGAATTCACCCAGGGGGCTTCTGACTCCTCATCAAATCTCCATTCCTCTCCTAAGTCCTACCGCCTCCAAAACACAAGATGACCCCAGGCCTTGCTCCTCCCTAGACCAGTGGTCACTCTGGAACTCCAGGGACACAGCTTCGGACCTCAGCCCCCACCTTCCCTGCAGAAGGTGATGAGCCGGCTCAACCCCTAGTTTGCAGCAGGCTGAGAGCGGAGTAGAGGAAGCGACAGAAGCCAGGGTGGAAGGGAAGACCTTTCTCAGCAAATAATGCTGATGCTCAAGGCGATGAACAGGATCAGGACCCACAGAGGAGCAGGCCAGACTACAGAGGAGGGGCGGGGGTAGGGGGTAGGCCCGGATGTGTCGGGTGCAAATCACCACCAAGGGCCTCATCCCAAACCAGCAGCAGTAACTCTACCAAAGGGCTGGAAAAGTGCAGCCATGTCACTCCCAGCCATCTACTGCACATATGTACTTGCACGAGTGAGTAAAGGGAGATATGAGGAGATGTTCACTAAGGCGTTGTGGGCAACCACACACACACACACACACACACACACACACAAACACACTGGAAATAACTGCCTAGCAGTAATTCAATATATTCTGTATAATCATCCTAAGGGATGTTTGTGTACGAATAAAAAAATATTGGAAGGGTCACCTAGGACCCATGGGAATTAGTGAGAGGGGCATCGAAAAACCTTTACTTTTCACTGTGTATCCTAATGCGTTTGCACGTTGACTGTGAGTACGTAGTCTCTGTATAATTTAAACAAAAAATTTAGGGGCGCCTGCGTGGCTCGGTTGGCTGACCAAATTCGGCTCAGGTCATGATCTCATGGTTCACGAGTTCCAGCCCTGCGTCAGGCTCTGTGCTGACAGCTCAGGGCCTGGAGCCTGCTTCAGATTCTGTGTCTTCCTTTCTCTCTGTCCCTACCCCACTCATGCTCTGTCTCTGTCTCTCAAAAATAAATAAAAACGTTTAAAAAAAAGAACAAATTTAAAATGATGTAAAGAAAGAAAAGAAAGAAACAAGAAAAGCATAGCAAGAAAAAGGCCACTATCAAGCAGCCGTCAGGGGTCAAGAAAGAATTTCTTCCCAGATGAGGGGCTCACTGAGCCTGTGGGAAGGCAGGCTTCTCTCAGCTGAGAACACGTTTCTGCTTGCAGGCCCCAAGGGACAACCATCTCTGCCTGTATGTTTTCCTTAACGTTCCTCAGAACCAGGTCTGTGTTCAACTCAGGCAGAGACTTACCTTCTGCCTCCTCCACAGTCGTGTGGACGAGATCTTTAAAAAGTGAGTCAGAGAGAGGCACTTTCTGGGCCTCACATCGCTGTGGGGGATGGGACAGCCGTATCTCTCCCTATCAAAAGAGCCAACAGTTACTAAAAGCACAAGTCTTTCAATAATGGGCTTGTTTGATTTATAGTTCTGATAATGGCGGTGATGTTAGTGGAAACTCGTTTGCAAATTTAACTGACCTTTTAGAGCCCAAAAAAGTCATGGCCAGACTTTACTAATTGCTAGGTAGATTCTGTCTTCTTCTGGGTTACCAAAAGCAACCGCCAAAACAGCTTGTATTAGAGCCTGAATAACAAGAAATGGGGAGGAGGGTGAGAATAAGCTTAATAAAGGACCTTTAGAAGAAAGAAGGAACTCCCCCTAAATTCCTACTGCCATAAGGACACTCTACCCACACAAAACCCTATAGAAGTCCAGCCACAGATGCTGGCAAGGGAAGCACTGGGATAAGGCAGCCAAAGCCAAGTGTAATGCCTCCCTTCTTCCTCACCACTTCCTGCTGCCCCAGACCTTCTAGGCCGAAGTCCCCCGTTTTCCCCAACTCTTCTGAGCTTCTAAGAGCTCACTTCAGTTCATGCAGATCAAGGAAAAGTGAGGGACCGAGCTGCTTTCCCCCTGCCCCTGGACAGGCAGTCTGTAGGGCCCTAGCACCCATGTCTGTGGGTCGCATACACTTGTTTTTATCCCTTCACTTCGGGGAAGCTCTCAGTTCACAGCCCTTCGGACAAGGGTGGTTGGAGGAGGGCCAAACTGCTCCAGGCAGGTGCGGAACCAAAGCTGGTCAAATCTGTCCGCTTTAGGGCTGGGACGGCCACATCCGGCCGGGCTGCCCGCCTAGGACCCTGCTCCACTCAGACGTGCTGCTGACAGTCTTCCATGGACGCCCCTCCCCTACCTAGCCCACTCCATCCTCACCCTTGGGGAGGTCCGTCCCTCTCCGCAGGACGTGAGAAGGGTCTGGCAGTGGGCTTCCCTCGCCTAGGGCGCTCCCCCAGACCCCTGAAGGGGAGGTTCTTTAAACTGTCCCCCAAGAGCATGGGCCAAGCCTTGCCCTGGTTCTACTTGTCTTGAGACACCCCCACCCCCCACCCCCCACCCCCCACCCCGGGCCCGCCAGCCGCTGCCCCCAGCCCAGCTCTCGGCCAGGGGAGCAGTGGTGCCAAGAAGACCGCGCGACCTGGCTTTACGCGCGGCCCGCCGCAGTCGCGGTCCCGGGCCTGGGTGGGTCCCCGGCCGCGGCGCCCCCCGCCCCTATGCGCGCACAAAGCCCGCGGCCGCCGGAACCCGCGGCCCCCCGCGTTCGGCCGCTGGATCCCGAGCCCGCAGGGGCCCCGGGGGGGGGGGCGGGGAGGGAGGGGAGCGGCTCCGCGTGCTGCGCTCCAGCCGCCCGGCGCGGGGAGGACGCGCGGCAGCGCCAGCCTCGGGGCCGCGCTGGTTAGGTAGCAGGGGGGACCGGAAGGATGGCGAGGAAGTAGGAGAGGGTTTCCTGAGATGAAAGATTACTTCCGTCCGGGCTCTGGCCTCTCTCTGGAGCCGACTCGTTGGGGGCTGGGGAGCGGGGTGCGCGGGGCTCGGGGGCCGCGCCTTGCCACCTGCAGCGCCCGCAGCGGGCGGGACGCGCGCGGCCCGGTCGGGGGGCTAACGCGGGGGGATTCTTGCAGGTGGGACTCGAGAGCACTTCCCAGCGCCCAAGCCATGGTGGCCAAACAGCGGATCCGGATGGCCAACGAGAAGCACAGCAAAAACATCACCCAGAGGGGGAACGTAGCCAAAACCCTGGTAAGGCGGGGGCGGCGCCGACCCGGCCAAGCGGGGCAGGGCCGGCGGGGGCGGGGCGGGGCCGGCGGGCGGGCGGGCGGCGGGAGCAGGGCCCGGCCTCCCCGCTCGCCGGCCCGGGCCCGCCCCTCCCGCAGGGTCCCTGGTGGGCGGCGTTGATGGTGGGTCCTCAGGGGGTGGCCGCCGGAGCATCACGGAGGCGCGGGGGAGCCTCCCCAGGAGAGAACTGGGCCTTTGTCTCCGGGAAAAACGGAAAGTCACATCCTTAAGGAACAGTTAAACCAACTGCGTGACACAGGGCCCGGAACCCAGTAAATGCTAGAACGTTCGATGAATGAATACTCGAATAGGTCAATGGAGGCCACTTATCATCACCCCCTTTCAAGCTCAGCGTCCCCTGGCCTCCACCGTCAACAGACACCCGCCAGGTTAAGAGTTTCTCTGCAGTCCCTCTGTAATGGCGCTGTAGAAGTTGGAAGGGCCCAAAGTGCGAAATGAGGTTCAGACCCGTGTTTCCCTCCCTCCTCCTTTCTCTCCTTCGCCTCTTCTCCAGTGAGGCCTCTCTCACTACTGGGCTGAAGTTTAAATGCAACATTACTTTTGTTCACCCTGGCTCATCCTGATGGTATGATCCAGGACTTCGGAGACTAGATTAAAGCTTTGTAACTGGACTTTAAAGTAAAATCTGTGCTTTGTGCGCAGGGGTTAGTTTTAGCAAAGCAGAATATCTTCAAGAGAAAATGCCAGGTCCGTGATTCTGGACACTCAGGCATGTCTGGGATGAGTTGTTGGGCAGTGTTGGTCTCCAAGTCTGTGAGCCAAGGCGCCTGGAATCTATTACCCCAGACAGTTAAGTGAAGTCCAGCTGAAGCTTTGGGTTTGGCTGGAAAAGCTCGCAGACCTGATGAGGCAATTCCTTTTAGCCAAAGAAATGATGCTGGTTTGAGTAACTGAGCAAAAAGCTAGAGCTGCAATCATCACACCAGAATTCTTGCAAAACTGAGCAGTAACATGGCAGAGAAACCTTAGGATCAAACTCCATTCTACTCAGAGCTTTATACACAGCCCCAGGCTTAAGTTATGCTAGAAATTCTCTCATTGGGAGTTAGATCATGGAGTTGTGACTGAACAGTAAAATGCTAATATGCCGTTGAATCGGAACCATTTTTCACTTAGATCTGTTTTCCATGTTTCTTTTTACTCAGAAAAACAAACAAACCTTGCTGTCCAAATTGACCTTGAGAAACAAATTTTAATCGATGTTAAATCACTTAGAAGGTCACTTCTTCCTAGATATCATACGGACTAGCTGGTATACTGAAAATCTCCAGTTGTGTGGTTCTTTTCAAGGGATTAAGAAACTATAGAACTAAGAGAGTTGTGAACTGCACTCAGTCGACAACATATCCCACTGCAAAAGTAGCAACACAGGAACTGATTTGCAAAGCTGGTTTATCCATCAGGCTTGGTAAACTCAAGGTCTGCCACCTTTAGCTTTTCAAGACCATTGGAAGGTGTTTGAGATGGGGGTGGGGGAAGTTAGTGGCTTCAAAATAAAAAAAGAAAATTTAAAAATTGGAGGAAGATATTTAAATGTGTAGAAAATGTGGTTACACCCATTTTGAATGTTTGATCTATGGTTTGAGTGAATTTTAACAGGCTCTGATATACCTTAGTTTCGGCTTTCAAAAGTGCCTGTTACCTATGAGGATGTTCAAATGGCCTTACTACCTTTGTAATGAAAGGCTGCCAAAGCACCCCACGAAGTATGTTTATTTTCAGTTGGCTAGAAGAGCCTTTTGGTTAACTTTATTGTAAATGGACCAGCATCCAAAAAGAAAAATGAAGTACTTTTAAACCCTAAATCTCATTTTCCTAATTACAGGTCAAGCACAATTATGCATTGAAAGAAGTAACTTGCAAGAGATAAACTTGTTTGGGAGGAAATTGGGAACATATGAACAGATTCTAACTGAAAAATCAGAATAAGCATTCAAAAATAAACCCCTTCAATTATATGCAGATGCTTCATTATTTCATCAGCTAATAACTATGGAGTAAATCAACATTATTCTCCCAGATAGCAGATAAATCGAAGAAACAAGGAAATCGAGTAACCATTTTGTGATTATACAGTAGTAAGTTCTCCAGAATGAAGGGGATTTAAAGTGCAGAGTTCTGAGTTACCCTGCTGGTATATAAACACGGGGGAAACGAGCCCCTGACATTGTAAAGGACGTAACATACTCCTGTTTGAAATGAGCCCTGTCATTTGCAGGATTCTACTGCTTTTCTTATCTTTCCCAGCGATGGATTCAGGCTTAGGTGAATTGCCCCAAAGGAATTGTGCAGGGTACATCATCCAAAAAAGAGGAACTCAAAGCTCTCAAAAGAAAAAAAGGATATATTGTGTTCGTGAGCTCTCAAAGTCCCCAGATAATACCGAGTCGCTGGAAAATGTCATCAAACAGATTTTTATCTCACATAGTCCAAGCTCTGCATGTTGGTAATTTGTGGTTTTCTGCAAAGGAAAAATAACGGACTCCATTTGGGATCTGCACCAGGCCAGTAATTCATTTACAGGCTCCTGAATTCACTTGTTGGCTTTGCTGGAGATAGAGCTCAATGAGCTTTTTATACAGAACTGGTTTCTGGTCAACTGTGACAGATGCTTGAGCAGTTAGTGAAAGAGGGTGGGGGAAGCATATGGGCGGCACTCTGTTCAGATAACTTTACTTAATATCTCTGTTATTTACTTGATCTGGCCTTGATCTGGTGGTAAGTGCCAGAGATTGACACAGCGACAGCACTGGCTAAAGTTATCTTACACAGTTATGTAAGACTGATTTTTGTCCCTGTCTGGCCAGGAGCTGCCACCGTCCCCTTGCAGTGCGACTTGTTTGTGCAAGAGTGGTGGTGGATACAAGCTTGTCAAAGACAGAGAACCAAAGGGTTTTAATCCTTGGAGCCCACCTACCATTGACAGTTTATACTCTGGTAGAGAGAGATGCAGGGATAACCCTACCACCAGTTAGGAAGTATTTATAAAATAGTATCCTATTTTATCCTAGTATCCTTCCTAGGCCCTGTCTTTACTCTACTTGACCTAAGAAATCACATTTAATGAAGTTTGTATGCTTATTCATTCTTCAGTGAACACTTATTGAGCACCTACTATGTTTAAGTCCTGGGCCAGGCCTTGCTGTACATTTTATACATGAAGGAGACACAGTGCCTGCCCTGGTGGGCATAGAGTCTGGTGGAGAGACAGACAGTAAACACATTATCATGAGAATAAACCGAGATACAAACAGGGATCAATGCTGTGAAGAAGACGTACATGGGCGATTTAAGTGGTAAGGGAACCCACCTGAGGTAGAAGAGAGAAGCCTGTCAGAATGGAACGAGTAAGCTGGGAACCAAAGAATTGTTGCCTTACCTATAATAAAATGAGCTCTCGTGTTTACGTGGGTGACAGCCTATTTCTGGCTCACACACATGAGGAAATGTTAGTGAGATATTTTCTTCGCTCTAACATCTCCCTTTTTATTTGAGAAAATCACCACTTTTTGTGGATGCCTCTCTCAAAAAATACTTTTTCCCTTGATCGATTTGATTTTTTTTTTTTAATGTTTATTTTTGAGAGAGAGAGAGAGCACAAGCAGGGGAGGGTCAGAGAGAGAGGGAGATACAGAATCTGAAGCAGGGGTCCATCCCACAAGCCTCAAGATCATGACCGAGCTGAAGTTTTGACGCTTAACTGACTAAGCCACCCAGGCGTCCCAATCGATTTGATATTAAGGACCAAGCCTTACCTGCAAATAGACCTAGAGGGGTTGTGGATGGGTGTGGATGGCTGTGTTTTGGGCTTGAGGGGAGCAGGACGTGTGAGGGACTAGGTTCGTGTGAACACAGTAGCACCCTTCTGCTCCCCATGGAAGGCAGAGGCTTCTTCAAAGTGTAAGCTTCACTGAGGTCCAGGAACTTTATTTATTGCAAAATGCTGCTTCCTTTGCATATCCGCTCACGGTTGCTGTGGTGCTTCCGCCATTCTGAGAATTTCCATGGCACCGGCCTTCCCCATTTTCCTGGCATGTAAGTTTTGAGAAAATGGCCGCTCTGTGACCTTTTTTGGAATCCACAGATTCATGAACTTAAGATGGTTCTGTTAATGGAAAACACCCAGGCTCTGTAATGAGGCGGGTCTAAATTTGAATCCCAGCCCTTGATCAAATTAGTAGACCTCGAGTGTCAGTTTCCCAACTACAAAATGGAGTTGACAACACTTGCCTTGCATGGAGTTGTGAGTGGTGGAAATAGTGGTTGTAGATTGCCTAGGGTAGAGCCTGACATCCAGCGTGCCTTCAACAAATGGAAGCCATTGTTAGTACTATCATTTGGGGCTCCCAGATCACTGTCTTGGTTGGTGTATTTATGCCCCATCTGTCCCCAGAATATTTAAGACTGCCAAGTTCCCTGAGTTACAGGAGTATAAATAAGGTTATTGGTTCATTTCTTCACACCTATCTGGATCCTTCACAATTAGCTTCATTCAGCTATGCCTGCCCACTGGGCATGGAGAATGCATCCATCTCACCCATCCTGGTACTCCCAGTCTTTAGTAGGGTCTAGTTGTACCTCACAAATGTTTCCTGAATCAACGAACCTAATCTTACTTTACCGTATTCCCTTTCAGAGGCCGCAAGAAGAGAAATATCCTGTGGGACCATGGCTGTTGGCACTGTTTGTTTTTGTTGTCTGTGGCTCAGGTATGGGTTTTTTGCTCTCCTCTGTCCTTCAAAAACACAGGTTTTAGTCACAAGTAAATAGACTATATATATATATTGTTATGGGATTTAAGTTAATCTCTGCCTGAAGCCTTCATCTTAATGGGTTTTGGTTCAGTCTCTAGTCCAGCGGAGCAAATATGAGTAGAGACAGAATTGGTACCCTATCAAATCATAATCGTAAAATGATTACAGTGAGCAATTAAATTGGCTGTTTACACTTTAGAGTTCAGTAAAACATAGCCTTGAAAGGGCATTTGGAACAGAAAGTGAAACACCTGTCTGTCCAAGATAGATCCAGATTGCAGAGAAAGGGAGAGGCTTTATGCCTTCCTCAGAGGAAATTCTACAGAACTCATAGATAGAAGTGAGCCTTTGACCTGAGCCTCAAGGTACAGTCACCTCATACTGGAAGCTGGCAGGTTCAGAGACCTTTGCTTATACTCAAATGCAAACATGCACACACACACCCCGGCGAGGCTTGAGCAAAGGATCAAGCAGTTGTTTCTAGTTGAATTTGGTTATTGGAAGTCTTGTAATTCCTGGTCCCCGTGGGCTGGGGCTCTAAAATAGTGGTAAGCGAGCAACAGTGGGGTTGCTTCTAACAAGGCAGGACTTCCAAGGTTCCCACGATCTGTCACTCAAAGAAACAAAACTGTACCCCATTCCCAAGGGTATGACTCGAAAGGAATCTTTTACCAATAACAGAATCGCTCATTTTTAATGGTCTACCCAACCTCTGCTAGAATACTTCTGAGGGTGGAGGGCTCACTTCTTCAAAATGCCTATCCCATTTCTGTATAGCTCTAATTCGGTTAGAGACGTCTCGTGTCTTTTGAACTACACCACACTATCTTTTCAGTAGTTCAGGTATGAACTCCTAAAACCACAAGGCACAGGCTCATTCTCTTCTGAACATCTTGACTCATCTTGACTCTTCAGATATTTTAAAGATGAGTTTAAATTCTGCAAACTAAACTTCCCTACTTCTCTCAACTGAGCCTCATAAGATGTGGTTTCTAGACCCCTCTTCTGGATACACTCCATGACTATCTTAATGTATATAATAATTGCAGCTGTGTAAGTTGATCTAGAAGTGGTGTGACTGCTGCAGAGGCAATAGGATTGTCACTGCCCTTGATCCCATCACCCTGCTTCTATTAATATGACCCAAGCTTCAGTTTATTTTCAGCAGTCACAGCACATCCTAGACTCACATTGAGCTAAAGGCTAGCCTGGCCCCACCAAACTATCCTTTACATAAATGCTCTACAAGGTTCAGGGAAGCATGTACATACCTCCCCCAATCCAGGGCTGTCCCTTATCCCCATCACACATTGTTTACTTTACTCATGATTCTCATCAACATATGAAATTATTTAGTTTGCTTCCTTATTATCCATTTCCCACTCCTGGGACATAAGCTCAGGGAAGGCAATGTTTATGTTCCACTAAATTGGTAGATTCATATATGTATTTAGCACATAGTGAGTGCTCAGTGTGGTTGGCTGGATGGATTCATGGATGGGTGAGTGGATGAATAGAGCCAGCTACTCCCCACACTGTAGATATCCAGTTGACTTTCTTGAGACCTAATATAAGGCTTCATGAATATTTCTATTAAAATTTTGTTGGTGGTTATCAGTTGTCTTTCTACAGAGTAGCCACAAAGTCTGGAGGTACAAGAGAACATACATAATAAATGGCTTGCCAAAATTACATTATCATGTACGATATGGCCAGTGACATATGATATGGTCAGCGTATCGCCTTCATCAGCGACGCATAGTTCAGAACGCAGCACAAAATTGCAAGGAATATGGTGTGTTGATGCAGCATTTGCATCAGTGCCTGCATATTCGTCTGCTATGCGTTGCCTCAGATGATCAGTCTCTGATTTCCACCCAACAATAAAACAAACAAAAAACCATGTGCCTCTAGCAAGCCAAAAAAAAAAAAAAAAAAAAAACACCAAGAAAAATAAATCTATATAAAAAAGCAATCTGCATTTTCAGACCTTAGGGCCAGCCTGTAGATTGTTAGATCTTGACCCTTGAGCCTTTTATCTAATCATCTTTCTTTGTCAGCTTTATAGTCGCTGAAAGTATACTATACCTGCCAGTCACTGATAAAGTCTAGACTTGGAGAAGCCCACGGAACGGAATTCGAGACAACTCCCTTCAGGTTGACTTTGAACCTCTCGGCAAAACTTGTACAAACAATCATCACGTCTTGGGGGTTTGGGGGTCCACTGTGTGCCTGGCACTGTGCCAGGCTTTGGAACAACCGTGTTCAGGAGGCTGCAGGCACTGGGGGAGGCAGATAAGGCAGGTCAGTTGTACCTGGGGGCAGAGTTCTGTGATAGCAGAGCGCCCGGGGTGCTTGGTGGGCACGGATAAGGGACTGTCTCAGCCTGCTCAGGCTGCTATAACAAAATACCTCCGATTAGGTGGCAGAAAGGGTAGGGAGCTCTGTGGGGTCTCTTTTATGAGAGCACTGATCCCATTCATGAGGTCTCCACCCTCATGACCTAATCACCTCCCAGAGCCCCCAAGCTTCTACCACCATCACATTGGACATTAGGATTCCAGCACACAAATATGGGAGAGCACAGTCCGACTGTAGCGGGGACTTCTCAGTCATACGGAGCAGAAGAGCAAGTTTCCCAGAGGAGGTGGCATTCATGCTGCATTTTGAAGGACAAACAGCCAGACAAAGGGAAGGTCAGTCCACATGAGAGACTACTACGTGACGAAGGCACGTAGGCCTGAGATAGTATGCCAGGCTCAGGAATGGCCAAAGCCCAACTGCAAGGACCCGTGAGCCCAGTCATCACCCAGTCCGTGTTGTCAGGGACTAAAAAGGTTCAGAGCCAGTGTTGGATTTTTTTTTTCGTGTCCAGATACATATTAACCAGTGCCCTCCCCAGTCTGCACCGCTAGGTAGCATATGGGGAGTTTAAGTCAACAAAGTGATTTGGTCTGTTTTTCTCAAACCGGCCTAGTTCTCAATATCCATCCTTTTCAAAGGGCTTGAAAACCTTCCCTAAATTACAGTTCAGTAAAAATCTTGCCAGGCTATTGGTCTATGTAGTAGGAACTGTATCTCCTCTCTCCCACCCC